AGGAAGACCCTGTCTCAATTAATCAACCAACCACACAAGCAAACACAGAGCCAGAACACAGAATGCCAAGTCCCTGAGGACTGCCACAAGGTTATGACATTCCAGTTTATTTAGTTGGTTTATCTGGAGTCTGAAATGCCAGTTCTCTCAGATTTTTGTCATGTATTCCCTCTTCTTAAAATTCACATGCTAGCAAAACGCTAATCAGATTTCAAAGTCAGCATTCCTCAGCACCCTTCCCACCCCAGGCACAGCAGAAGTGGCCCACACAGGGCTCTCTCCAGACAGCCTGGAACCCCACACTTCCCTGCCAGCTCCAAGCCTAACTCCAGACTTGGAGAACCCCCAAGGACAGGAACATCACTTTCCAGCCTTTAATTTCACTCTCAACATAAGACAGGCCCAAAGTAAATGTTTACTTACCTTCTCTTTAAGATAGGGTCTCAAATAGCCAGGTGACTTCTAACTCACTACTGTACAGCCAAGGCTGGCCTTGAACTCTAGATTCCCCTGCCTCCACTCACAAGTGTTGAGCTTACCTGTGAGCAACTCTCTCAACCAAGTTTTCTAAGAACCTATTCCCACACTTGACCTCCGGGAACACTGAACTCTCAACCAAGAGGAAGAGAAACTACTTCTGGTTTTACCTCCTTACCAGGGGAATTATTAGAATTTGTAGTACTTTTTTTTTTTTTTTTAAATTAGAAACCCAATCACTATGGATTAGAGGTATTTTTTTACACTAAAGTATAAAAACAAAACAAACAAACAAAAAAACCCAAACCATTCCAGGGTCAGCTGGGATATCCTTCCTCTTCTCAGCATGCTGGTTTAGAAAGGACTCTTCTTGTGGGTTTCCATGGAAGGGTGTGTGCATAATGTCTACACTCCCCTGACACCGAATCTCAGGTCCTTTGGAGTCTAGGCTCCAGCTGAATGGTATATTAAATCCTGTACTTGGCTAGATAGACCTGTGTGGCCTCTGTCCCTGTCATTCCACAAACTTGGGTCTCAGAAGGTGAAACTTTACTCTGTCTTTTGTTCTATGGGCTTTTGGTTTGTTTTTCTTTCTTTCTTTCTTTCTTTCTTTCTTTCTTTCTTTCTTTCTTTCTTTCTTTCTTTCTTTCTTTCTTTCTTTCTTTCTTTTTTCTTCCTTCCTTTCTTTCTTTCTTCACTCATTCTTTCATCCTTTTTTTCTTTCCTTCCTCCTCCTCCTTCTTTTTTAAATAAAACACAATCTTGCCCAGGCTGGCCTCAAACTCATGGTCTTCCTGCCTCAGCTTCTTGGGAGCATTTCTACAAGCTTATGGCCAGATGCTCAAGCTAAGGTTCCCCTTTTCAGGTACTTTTTTTTTTTTTTAGTCCCTTGTGGTTTTCGCTTGAAGCTTTAGTCAACATTGATTGTGTGCCCAATTGGAGTAGGTTAGAAGTTTGCCACACAGCTAAAGTAGAAGCCCATACTTTTACAGTCATAGATATGATATGTTGACTACAGATGGTACTCTAGTTCCCATCTACCTGATGTCTTCTGTGTGTACTGCATAAACTACCCTCTCTAAAGAGAATCTATGTGCAAATTTCAATGACTTTACATTATCACTCTCTCTATGAAGTCACTTTCTTACAGTGGAGCTCTGTGACTGTCAATTTCTCACAAATACTTGGTATAAAGTGGGCAGAAATAGATGAGATGGCATGTCTGGCCCAGGATGATCAGAATCTGACAAGTCAGGCCATTTTCCTGCAGCTTGCCGAGCACGCAGACAGGGCTGGGGAGATGACTCAGTGGTACTTCCTCTGGAGGACCCATGCTTGATGGCTCAGAACACGCACACAAAGCCAGACACTGGCGGAGGGAAGGCAGGAGTACCGCTCGGCTTGCTGGCTGGTCGGCCTAGCTTAACTGAGGAGCCACAGCCTCCGGTCCCATTGAGAGACCATGCTTCAGAACAGAAAGTGGAGGGGCCTGGAGCGATGGTTCAGTGGGCAAAGCACTTGCTGTGCAAGCGTGAGGATTTGAGTTCAACACCCCCCCCCCAGCCCACAGAATTGCTAGGTTCAGTGGTCTGCGCCTGTAACCCCAGAGCTGTAATCCTAGTGCTTTTTATAGTGAAATGGGTGGCGGAGACAGGAGACTCCCCAGAGGCTCCTAGCCTGGCATATGAAGTGGTTAAAAAAGAAATGAAAGAAAGAGACACTCTCCTCTGATCCCACATGGACATTAGTACCAAAATGGTCTCTCTCTGTGTCTCTGTCTCTCTCTCACATACACATAGTAAGAGAGAGACAGAGACACAGAGAGAGAGAGAGAGAGAGAGAGAGAGAGAGAGACAGACAGACAGATAGAGAGGGATTTAAAAATTCCCAAGCTGGGCTGGCAAAATCACTCAGTGGGAAAGGGTACTTAACAGCACACCCGGGAACCTGCGTTCAGCTCCTGGAGCCCACATGGTGGAAGGAAAGACGCGAGTGTAGCAAGTTGTCCTCAGACCTCCACACAAGTGTGTGTGTGTGTGTGTGTGTGTGTGTGTGTGTGTGTGTGTATAAAGTATGGCATAAGCTTTTGGAGAGCAAAGCAGAACCGGCAAGTCCTTCCATGGGACTTTGGCTTGGCTCAAAACTTCGTAAGCCTTCTCCGCAGACTGGCGGGGCCTGAGTTTTCACACTTGGAGCTGCATTTCTTCGGCTTATGATTTCCTGAAGCCTCTTAAGATGGAAATGAATGGCTGCTGCTGACCTTGGGAAGTGGAGGGGCCTCGGCAATGGGAGGCCGGACCACAGGGAAGCCAGCACGGTTTGGCCAGTGGTCCAAAGGCAGGAATGTGGATCTTGTGATGTTCTCAAAAGGCAGCAATAAGCATTTTAATGAGAACCATCATGATTTTTAAAGTGTTAGCAAACAATACCACATTAGGAAAAATGGACAGAAAAAGCCGAGCAGGTGCTGTTTGTGGCTGCCACTGTGTGTGACCGCAATGGCCTCCATCACTCAGCAGACATCCCTGTGAATGGATCCATCTCAGCTCCTGGGACAGGAAAGAGAAAGGGAGGGAAGGGTAGAGAGGAGCGTGGGTTTGTGTAAAGATGGAGGGATGATGTGGGGAGGGACCTTGAACCTGTGAGCAGTGGACCAGACCAAGGTCATGCTGTCTCACTCAGGTGATGGGTGGGGGTGGGCGTCAACAATGGGAGCAACCTCCTGTCCCAGGTCGTCACTCATCCTAAACGTGGCTCTACAGCAGTGCTCTCCATGCGGAGTTCATGAGAGTGTGAGGAAGTCACACGAGAAAGGCCATGGGATTCACTGAAAGACAAGCAGGCCCCGAACATGTGTCACAAGTGACCAATGGCAGCCATACACAGGCCACTCTGTTCTAGTCATGGATACGATGGCTCTCCTGAGGTGCCCCCGGGCTCAGCAGTCCCCGGTCTTGTTACAGCCTCTCCCTCTTCCCTCCCTCTCTCCCTTCCTCCCTTCCTCCCTCCCTCCTTCCCTCCCTCCCTCCCTCCTTCCTTTAAGAAAGGAACTTAAAGTTCTTCTGTGTAAGTGTGTGTGCACCTGGGTGTCTGTATGCACACCTATCATGCAGGTGTCTGTGAAGTCCTTTTGGACCCTCTTTTGAGGGTGTTGGATTCTCTGACACTAGTTAGAGGCCATTGTAAGCCACCTGATATGAGTTTTGGGAGTCCAACACTGTCCCCTGCAAGAGCATAGGCACTCTTAACTGCTGACCAGTCCCCTGCTCCTTTTTAAAAAACAGGCTCCCATGTAGCCCACATTGGTCTCAAACTCACTATGACGCCATGGTTGACCTTGAACTCCTGATCCTCCTGCCTCTACTTCCTGAGTGCTGGAGTCATAGACAGTCACCATCATGTCCTCTGCAGGGAGAATAACCTAAGATAGCTATACTTTCAGATTTAAATGAGTGAGTTTATAATGCATGTCACAAAGAACAAATAGCAAGCAACAGGTAGATGGAAAAACATCCAACCAGGGGCTCCTGACATGCGGCAGAGAGGGCAGAGGAAGCCCTGCCCAGAGCTCCAAGCTGGAAGCTGAGACTGGGATTGCTGCAGGCAGGGCACTGCTCTCTCCATCCTCTTCCAGCGTCTGGTTCCCGTTGCAGGCATTTTCATGCCATGGGACAAACAACAGTGACCTCCTTCAGTCTCTCTCAGTGCGTTTCCATTTGTTTTCATTTTCCATTTTCCTATGTATGTGGTATACATGTGCGAGTATGTTTGCACATGTGTGGATGTGTGTGCATGTGTGTGGAGGCACTAGATTGATGTCCTGAATCATTCTAGATGGGCTCTTCCGTAGTATACATTGAGGAGGGCCACTCAGTCAAACCCAGAGCTTACTGATATGGCTACTCCTATGGACAGCTTGCTCTGAGATCACTATCCCCCCCCCCCCCCCCGCTGGAATGATAGGCATCTGTAATGATTACCCAGAATTCACCTGGGATCTGGGAATGAGAACTTGGGTTTTCTAACTCTTTAACCACTACCATTTTCCCAGGCCCCAAGCTGTGCACTGTTACCTGCACTCTTACTGTGACACTCTTACCTGTCTGCCATTCTCCTTTCTCTCAGACTAGGGACCATATCTCCTTTCTCTCAGACACAGACTTAGGGACAAGTGTGATCCAGGACAAGAAGTCTTGGAGTGTACTTGACAAAAAGAAACTGGAGTCTTCTAGAAGGGAGCCATCCTTGCTCCAGAATCCACTTTCAACGAGCTTACACAGCACACAATGATTTGCCAATATAATGTAAATTACTCCCCACCTAGCTTTTCATATCTTAAAAAATAGTTGACAATATGTCATATTGGCTTATTTTGATGGCACCCGTTCTCAGCGTTGAGCATGGGATCTGGGGTGTTGCAGGAAGCTGCTTGAGCCTTTGCGTGAGGCAGACTCAGGTTTGCCACCTGAGAAATGCCTGAGCTCTCTTAAGCTCACACAGCATCCTTCTGACTTCCTCCAAAGGACGGCACTTCCGGCCTCAGGCAAAAGTGATGGAGAGCCGCTGAAGGTGTCCCCAAAGCTTCCATCGAGCGCTGGAGAGGACCGCGCCACCCTGCTGGGCATTGCCATGATGGCGTCCTCTGTGCTGATGTTCTTCCTGTTGGGGACCACCGTGCTGAAGCCTTTCATGCTCAGGTGAGACACAGGCCAAGACCCAGAGCCTCCAGATGGGTCCAGCCCAGCGCTGGAGTCCATTCTCCTGAGCACACCCTGGGGCTTGCCTGTCCAAGCTGGAGACAGTGGAGGGTGGAGGAGGAATGAAATATTCCTTAGCTACTCCACGTTGACAGTCCACACGTATTTCTGCACACGGTCTCATCGCCAGTTGAGACCGGCATGGTCGGTAGCACAAAAGCATCCCACTAGGAGATGCCAGCCCAGCTTTCTCTCTGGTATCACCACCAGGAGAAACCTCTCTCTGCTCCTGCTCAGCCAGGTAACTCACTGGAATCTCACATCTGTTTGCCCCTAACTACAGTGGCTGCTAGGATGCTCAGAGTCCAGTTCATTCTTGTAACCACAAGGGATTGTGTGACCTTCGAGTTAGACATTTGTAGCTCTTCCTCAGAGTTCCTTCTAGCTTTCTCTCCTTTTTCTGTTAGTCAATTTCCCTCACCTTAAACACACACACACACACACATACACAGACACACACACGACTGCATGGCACATGTCTATGTGAGCTGAAGAAATGGATGTTCACATACACATCTGCATATATGGGCAGATTCAGAGAGAGGGAGAGAGGAAGATGGGGAGGGAAGGGGAGAGAGGGAGAGAGGGGAGAGAGACAGAGAGAGAGAGAGAGAGAGAGAGAGAGAGAGAGAGAGAGAGAGAGAGAAGAGAGAGAGAGAGAGAACCAACTACCCTCATTAAGAAACAACTTTGAGCTGGGCAGTGGTGGTGCATGCCTTTAATCCCCACACTCGGGAGGCAGAGGTAGGCGGATCTCTGTGAGTTCGAGGCCAGCGTGGGCTACAGAATGAGTTTCAGGACAGGCTCCAAAGCTACATAGAGAAACCCTGTCTTGAAAAACCAAAAAAAAAAAAAGAAAAAAAAGAAAAAAAGAAAAGAAAGAAAGAAAGAAAGAAAGAAAGAAAGAAAGAAAGAAAGAAAGAAAGAAAGAAAGAACTTTGAGGAATCAGTTCTCACTCTCAACCACATGGGTCCAAGGGATTAGACTCACGTTTCAGGGTTGCTGGCAGGTAGGTGCCTTTCCCCTCTGAGCCATTTTGAGAGCCTCAGAAGTTTAGACTTTTGTTTTGAATCGTGTGTGTGTGTGTGTGTGTGTGTGTGTGTGTGTGTGTGTGTGTGTGTATGTGTGTGTGTGTGTGTTGGTGTGTGCCCTTGGAGGCCAGAGGTGTCAGGTCTCCTGTAGCTGGAGTTGGGGGGGGGGTTGAGCTGACTGATGAGTGCTGGGACTCAAACATGAGTCTTCTGCAAAAGGAGTATGTGATCTAAGGGCTGCTTGTTTAAACACGCGATGTATCAGGGAGATGGTCGCAGGAGATCGGCTGAAAGCTGAGGTCAATCTGTGACTCATACTTGTTTTAATTTCTAAGTATTTCTGAAAATTGCTTAATGGGAGCTGTGAAGACATTGCCTGAGCAGCCAGTGGTCACTTCTGCCTCACCTTGTCATTCTTCAGCATCTGAGGGATCGGTCCCTTAACGACAACAGTTCAGATTTCTAGGGTGACTCACACCTTTCTGTCCACCCCAAATCTTTTAGTCAAAGGGACAGAGAATTGCAGATCAAGCCAGCAGACCCCAGCCGAGATGGGAGACACCTGAGAAGTTCCACCTTAGCAGAGGATCTATTGCAACTGATGACTGATGAAGAGGGAGTCAGTTTCTTTGGGGATCCCACCCTGAGAGGTTAGCCGTGCTCCACTAGATGGTCCCACACTGTGCATACAGATGAGCGGCCTCTGTGGGTTAAACCAGCACACACATGGAGCTGGGAGGGAGAAGAGGTAGGGGAATGGGAAGAGCAAAGGGTGTGGGCTTTGACCCAACACATTATGTGCATGGATGAAATTCTCAGACAGTAAAGAGAGGGACGCATGGCAAAGGGACACAGAGCTACTGAAGTAACAACGTCATTTTCAAGTCTAAATACACTTCGTTGTATCAAGGGTTCTGGCTTGGCCCTTGTGCCGAGGGTATCACTCTATTGCAGCTCTCTGAGGTCCCCGAGAGATAGCCAGACCACAATCAGCACTTGGGAATCAGGGGACTTACATTCCAACAGATACACAGACAGCTTTAAAGCAGTACCTCAGGACACCGAGTTTAAATAGACAGGCAGGAAAGCAGGCCAGAACTAAAGCTCAGAAAGAACTTAAATTCATTTCAAATTTAAAATGTGCTTATTAGTGTGTGTGCACGTGTGCACCACACTCCTGCAGATAGTGTGTGTGTGGATGTGTGTGTGTGTACACGCCACACTCTGTCTGAAGGCCACTGTGAGGAGTTAGTTCTACCACGTGGGGTGTGCGGATTGCACTGAGGTGGTCAGGTTTCATGCAGCAAACGCCTTCACTGTCTCACTGGCACAAGTAAGTACTTTTTCATTTCTGTGATTTTTCACTTGCTTAACATTTTTCTTAGGCTACTTCTAAGTGTTTTTCTTCAGGTTTGCAGTCACTCTGACACGTCCAGAGCATCTGTATCGTTCCCTATCGCTGCTGTAGTGGAGCACTGTGCACTTGGCTTAACAGTTGGCAGCTCACACCTCCCGAGTCCAGGAATCTGACCTAGTTTTCCTATCAGTATCAGCTGGACTGAATTCTCTTCTAGGTGCTTTAGAGGATTCTAGAGACTGCCCGTACTACTTGGCTTGTGTGGTCTGAGGTCCTCCACCTCCTAGCCTGCCTCCTGTGATCCACCCCAACATTTTGCCGTGGCCCCTGCTGGCACACACAGCCAACTCCATGCCTTCCACTCCTTGTAGAGGAACACAGTTGTTTGTGGCTGACACAGAGTGGAGGAAAGCGCTGGCTCCATACGGGGCTTTTTTAACTGCTTTAAAAGTCAGTGGGAATAAAAGGGACCTGCACTTTGCCTTGTGTAGGAGGGCTCGTGGGGAGCAGAGTCCACAGACAGTCTGTTAGCCACTTTTCTCATGTTGTGACCAAACACCAGATGAGAAACAACTCACGAAAGTGTCTATTTTGGCTCCCACGTTGAGCGCACAAGGCAGCGTGGTGGGGGTGGCAGAGACGACAGGAGCGGTGAGGTAGTCTTTCTCTTTTCACTCAGTCCGGGGTCCCGGCCCACGGAACCTCAGTTAGGGTGGGTCTTCCCTCTCAGTCCAATCTAGAAACTTCCTACAGACATGCCTGGAGTCTTGTCTCCTGGGTGTCCATATGTTCTAGTTTTCTTTCCATTGCTATGATAAACATCATGACCAAAAGCAACCTAGGGGAGGAAAGAGTTTATTTGGATTATACTTCCAGGTCAGAGTCCATTATTGAGGGAAGTCAGGGCAGGAACTGAAGACAGGAACCATGAAGGGAATGCTGCTTGCTGGCTTGTTCTCTGGCTCACTTGGTTATTATGCTCAGCTAGTTTTCCTTAAAAAGTCCAGACCGATCTGCCTAGGGATGGTGTCCCCCACAGTGGGCTGGGCTCTCCAACATCAATCATCAGTCAGGACAACTTTTCGCACCTAATGCTGCCATGTCCCTCTCCTCCCATGGAAGACTTATCCCATAAGCAAAAATAAACTATCTTCCTTGAGTTGCCTTTGGTCATGGAGTTTTACCATAGCAACAGAGGAGTAACTAGTACAGTACCCTAGATACTATGTGTACATGACACAGGGCAAGCTCTTAGTAGTGTTTTCCAAGAAAATGTAATTAGGTCCAATGTGATGGAGCTTGTAGCATGTGCCGTCATGACACACTCCCTGGAGCATAAAGATGAACAGGATGTAGCTTGGCACCCTAAGGAATTCAAAGGCACAAAGTCAGCCTGTCTCCCAGTGGAGATCTCAACACACTTGCTTCTACCTCTGGAAGCAGAGCAGGATGTAGAATCAGCCTCACTACCAGAACCCCTCCCAAAGGCTCACTTTCACCAGGAAGCTGGTAGATATGTCAAAAAAAAAAAAAAAATGACATGAAGGATGATGGGTTGTCCAAGTGTGACTCTTGGTGGCTCAGTATTTAGGGTAATTGTAGCTGAAAGTTTTCCTGTGTCTCTCCCACTCATGTCCCCCAAGTAAACACACAGAGGCTTATATTAATTATAACTGTATGGCCATGGCTCAAGCCTTTTGCTAGCTAGCTCTTATATCTTAAATTAGCCCATAACTATTAATCTATGTATTGCCATATCTTCTGTGGCTTTATCTGCATCCCATTACATGTTGTTCCTTTGGCAGTTCTCTGGTGTCTTCCCCCTGCCTTCTTCCTGTCTCTCTCTTTGAATTTCCTGACTGCCTCTAAGCTGCCTTGCCATAGGCCAAATGGCTTTATTTATCAACCAATCAGAACAACACATACTCACAGCATACAGAATGACATTCCCCCCATCAGGTAATGGTACTTAATTTCTCCTAGTACTTGCATTTTTGGGGGGAAGGGGAAGTCAAGATATGGTTTCACTGTGTAGCCCTGGCTGTCCGGGAACTCACTCTGTAGACCAGGCTGGCCTTTTACTCAAAGATCTGCCTGCCTTTGCCTCCCAGATGCTGGGATTAAAGGCATGCACCACCACCGCCCAGCTAGTATAAGAGAGTCTCAGGCTTCAGTTCAGACCTCCTGAGCTAGAGTCTCTGGGAGAGATCACCTGGAATCCACACTGGGCACTTTTGATGCTAATGAGTGAACTCATTCAGGTGAATCTAAAGTCTGACAGTATTGTGTTAGGACTGGTGGAGAGGAAATGCTCCCCATGGATCAGAACTGAGGCACTTGCCACCTTGCTCTTTTCCCATCTGTCTCCCTCACGCTCTCTGATCAAGATGTGATGTTTGTGCTGGTGTCTGGGGTGTGCTGGTGTCTGGTGGTGTCTTAGAAGGCAGAACTTGACTTTCCAGCAGCTTCCTTACTTAGGAAGAACACTTTTTTATTTCACAGCTCTAACAGAGAAGAATCAAACTGCACCACCGTCCACACACACATTGCAGATGATTGGCTGAACTTCGCCTTCACCTGTGAGGGCAGCTGCCAGGACCAGGGCGGGTATCCCTGTCTGCAGGTGTTCGTAAACCTCACCCACTCAGGCCAGAAAGTGCTTCTCCACTATGACGATGAGGCGGTCAGAAGCAACCCCAAGGTAACATGGCTTTGCCATCTAAGAGCTCTCTCTGCTGCCCTTCCGGAGTGCGGTCCTGAGCTGGGCACAAGCCGTCTGTGGAGAGCCAGTTTCCTTCTAGTGAACATTTGCTTTTTTGGAGGGTGTGTGTCACATAGGCCAGGATGTTCCCAAACTTGCTATGTAGCCAAGGATGACCTTACAATTGGAATCATCTAGCTCTACTTCCCAAGTACTGGGATTACCACGTCTTGTTATAAGTGGCTGAGGACTGAACCAGGGATTTGTGTATGCTAGGCAAGGACTCTACCAACTGGATATGTTCAAAGTATTCCATCAGGATAAATGGAGCTAGCAGCAGTCTTGGAAGAGAAATGGGCACGCAGAAAGGAGAGGTATATTCCAGTTTCCTGGCTCAGTGTGAAGTCCTAAGTGGGCAGTGTCTCCCCATTGTAGTCCTGGCTAGAATGAATGAATGCAGTCTTTCTTCAGCCAAGTTGGTAATTCTTTTTTTGCTGTAGGGTTCAGACAGGGTTTCTCTTGGTAGTCCTGATTATCTTGAAACTCACTTTATAGTTCAGGCTGGCCTCAAACTCACAGAGATCCACCTGCCTCTGCCTCCCAAGTGCTGGGATTAAAGGCGTGTGCCACCACTACCTGGCAGTAATTCTTAAGACATTTAAAGAACTTATAAATAAATTACATACTGGTTCATGTGATTTACAGTTCACAGTTACACTTAACTATGACGGTCTTATTAGATGACATGCTATAACAGTGTTGTGGGTGATTAAACAATCTAATGACTTCTAGTTTTCTATATTGGATGCAGTCTATTTTAAAGTCATACATTTAAAAGCGCACGCGTTCGTGCGTGCGCGCATGTGTGTGTGTGTGTGTGTGTGTGTGTGTGTGTGTGTAGGCACTCATGCCATGGTGTGTGGAGGTATGAGGAAAACTCACAGGCATCAGTTCTCTCCTCCCACCGTGTGATCCTGGGGCTAGAACCCAGGTGGTCAGGCTTGGCAGCAAGCACCTTTGCTCCATGTCTCAGTCCTGTCGTCCCCTCAGCACGGGAGCCCGATTGCTAAGAGACAGTCATTTCATTCTAAGCCCTATCGCCCACCCTCCCCTTCCCTCCACACTATGCAAGATGACCATGTCAAATACCATGACCCTCACCGTAACATTCGCCTGGAGCCCTTCATGCTGGCCACTGTGCCTACACACACACACACACACACAACACACACGCCCGCTTTTCAATGTGTGACTTTAAAAATGACTGCATCCAATATAGAAAACTAGAAATCATTAGATTGTTTTTCCTCCTCCAATCTCCAGTGCTTTTACACACCCAAGTGTCACCAAGACAGGGATGATCTGCTTAACACTGCCCGGGACATCAAGGAATTCTTCGATCACAGAAATGGAACTTTCACTTGCTTCTACAGTCCCGATGGCCAGCCGGGAGTCGTCCTGAGGAAGTCTGGCCACAAGGTTGTCTTTCATTGCTTGTTTTGGCCTTTGTTGACTTTGCTGGGTGGGGCCCTGATTGTTGGCTTGGTGAGGTTGACACAGCATTTATCCCTTCAGTGTGAACAGTACAGCATGGTGGTGAGAGTGCAGGCAGGAGGCAGAGCACATTCTGTGGGCAGGCGCAGGTCTTCGCCGCCCTGCAGTGTGACGACGATGAGCCAGGGAAGGAACAGAGAGCTGAAGAGGCGGCCGCACCGCTCCCATCCCGAGATGCTCCAGCTGATGACTTGAGCGCTGCCAGGCATGGCGGAGCATTGTGATCCCAGCACTTGGGGGGCTGAGGCAGGAGGATCACATTCAAAGCCAGATTGGGCTACATACAGATCTCGTCTAAGAACAGAGCTGGGGTTATAGCTTCCAGACAGAGCACCTGCCTAGCACACAGGCTCTGGATTTGATCGCCAGCACTAAACCGTGCTATCTGCTTACAAACCTGTTGTGTACAGGGCAAAGGCAGGCATCACAGCTTTCCACAGGGGAACCATTCTTCAAGTGTTGGCTGTTTTCTATTTATTCTAAAAACATGTAGTTTCAACAGTCTGTCTTTTCCCAGTCTCCCCAGATAAGCCACGGGAGCACCTTTCTCCTCGTAGGTAAAATGAATTCAAGGCACTCCTCTACATAACTTCATTTCTCCATGGAACATGCTGGCCCGAAACAAGCCGTTCCTGAGTCCGTCTGTCTGTGGCGCACTCAGCTGCCAGCACGTGCAGTTCATATGACGTTTCTCACAGAAAAAGGCAGTGGGAGCTGGGGCGATGACTCAGTTGGTAAACGAGAACCTGAGATTGGTTTCTCAGACGCATACAAAACAAAAATAAGCAAGCAAACACAACAACAAAGACAAAGCAGGCCTGTTGGCCTGGACCTGGAACCTCAACACCGGGGACAGCCAGAATAGCAAATCTGTGACCACCACAATGAGAGACCCTGTCTCAAACATGGACAGCGACTGGGGACCACCACCTGAAGTTGCTCTGGTCTCCACACACCGACACATGCATGCAGGCGTGTAGACAGCGCACGTACACATACTCATAGCTAGCAGTTCATTTACTACAAGTAGATCAAAACTGCCAACAACGGGAGAAAATCCAGGTCCGCCCCATTTATTGTAGTTTGTTCTGCCCTTACCCTCTATTCCAAGGGGAAAGCTGCTGCCTAGAAAATCCACCTTACATTGATTTGTACGTGACCTTGTCACGCAGCTGCTCTTTTTACTTTGTGGCATTTATTATCCTTCCCCTAAGCCCTTTCAGTCTCTGCACACTGTGGGAACAGGAGAAACAAATACAAGTGTGAGCTAAGCTGCACCTGAGTCCAACCCCCACATCAAATACTGCATGCTGGAGAATGGTTCACTGGGACAGTCGGTGTTCTGTAACAGAATCAGCCAGAGGGCTGGAGATGGCTCAGCGGTTCAGAATGCTTGCTTCTGCCGGGCGGCGGTGGCGCACACCTTTAATCCCAGTACTCAGGAGGCAGAGGCAGGAGAATCTCTGAGTTCGAGGCCAGCCTGGTCCAGGACAGTCATAGCTACACAGAGAATCCCTGTCTTAAAAAACAAAAACAAAACAAAACAAACAAAACAAAAACAAAAACCCCAAACAAACAAAAAGCATTTGCTTCCCAGTACCCACATTGCGGCTCGCAACCATCTGTAACTTCAGTTCCAGGACGTCCAATGCCCTCTTCTGGCCTTTGCAGTCACTACATGAGTGACTTACACATACATGCAGGCAAAAAACTCATACACATAAAAGTTAAAAAAAAATGTCAACTGAGGTTGTAAGTGTCCCAAGACTTCCAGCAAGGCCTTCCAGTTTATGATGAACATCTGAGCTTAAGAGCTGGCTGCTTTTCCAAAGCTCCTCAACGTGCCTTTACAGATCCACACACAAAAATGAAAATCCTTCATTGGAAACAACAAGAATGAGACTTTTCAAACAACTTTTGACATGTTGCTGTAATCAGTCACAAGATTCTAAGCCAGTTTAAAGCCTGTTAGTAATTAATTTCAAGTCTCAAATTAGCTAAGTGGATAACTCAGTAGAGTAACAGCTATGGAGTCTCACCTTCTCTCTACTGTGGGCCGAGGAAACATGCTTCAGAACAGGCTTTATTTCCATTCACAGCTTCGCAGGTGTAGGTATTTGGGAAATGCCTCTTTTGATGACCTTCAGGCTTAAAGACGGGGCATGTGAACCAGCAGGCTTAGTTTCTGATAACTTGCAGAACGGAGATGCCAGGAGCTTGGACATCCCTGTGCTGAGCTGCAGCAGCCTATTTGGTCGTGTTTGGTGGCAGTGGGGAGCAGGTAAGCTCTGACAGGCGTCCCTCAACTACCCCTTCTCTTATCCCTTGGCTAACTGATGTGCTGTGTAAAGGTTGTGGATTATACTTTGTATACCAAACGTCCCCATAATAAAACACACTATGCATGTCCAAGAAAAACTGTAAATGGAGATTCTGTCATTTTCTCAAATTAAAGATAAACCCATTTCCTAATAAATAAACCTGACTTCCAACTTAACAATACAGTTTTGTGCTTTCCCCTACCATCTCAACACCGAAGCCTCAGGTGTGTGCTTCATCAACCACAGAGGTTTCCCAAGCAGACACTGACTAGTGGTTCATCCCAGGGAAGACAGACATTAAGTTGGAGAAGAGAGTCAATTTGAAGTTCAAGTCACTTGGCAGTCCAGTAAAATTTAAGCGGTGATGGGCTTTTGTGAAAGCAGGAACATCAATGCTCATGTCTGTTACCAGTCAAAGGCAGCTCACCTTCTGCACTGTTTGTAACGGAAGGCAAAGCAGGTTGCTTCTAAACTGACTTCATGTATAGACTCTAGTTTCCAACAGACATGAGAAAATATCCCATTTCTACACATATACTCACACCTACTCCTATGTATATAAATAGCAGCATGAAACACAAGCATCTAAATCCTTTTTAGTACTCAAGCCTCTAATTTTTCTTGGTTTTACTACTGGGAGTTGATCCTAAAGCCTTATGCACTATGGTAGGCATGCTCTATCACTGAGTGATAGATACTGTGAATGCTAACCAACTAGCCAAGATATGTTAACAATTCTTAATGCTTTAGAGACAATAGCATTCATTTCTCTAGCACTTACTGCTAGGGAAGAAAAAAAATTGGTTGAGTTTCCCTTTCTTTTTCAGAATTCTAGACAGGGTTTCTCTGTGTAAGAGTCCTGGCTTTGTAGAACCTACAAAACCTGGAACCTACTTTGTAGACCAGGTTGGCCTTGAACTCATAGAGATCCACCTGCCTCTGCCTCTTGAGTGCTGGGAGTGCTACCATGCCTGGCTTGATTCAGTTTTTCAATCAAGTAATTATGTAGAAAACTCAAATCTAACTAGACCCTGTTCATAGCAACATTCATTTGTCTTCGAAGAGAAACAGCCAAAGGGATTTTCACAGCTCTTGGCTTACACCACATGCTGAGGACCATTTGGACACAAGGTAAGTTTTCTTTCTTTTTTAATGAAGAGCGTGATGGCACAGACTGTGCAGTTAGGGACAAGCAGACACTGACAGTGGTCACTAGCAATGAGTGCAGTCACAGGCTGCATGCACTCCTTGCTGGGACAGTATGACAGAGGAGGTCTTCGATTGAGTCGCGCTGTAGCTGTCCACATTCTAAGCCAGTGGTTCTCAACCTTCCTAATGCTGCGGCCCTTTAATGCACACAGTTCATGTTGTGGTGACCCCCAACCATAAGATTATTTTGATATTACTTCATAACTATAACTTTACTACTGTTATGAATCATAATGTAAATACCTGTGTTTTCTGATGGTCTCAGGCAACCCCTGGTCAAGGGGCATCTGATCCCAAAGGTCATGACCCCTAGGTGGAGAAGAGCTGCTCTAGTGAACAGCTTATGGAGCCTTCCTGTGCTACGCACTTCTGGGGCAAGGGTTAGAAGAACACTAAGAACGGTTTTCTTTTTGAGACAGGCTTTCTGTATGTAGCCCTGGCTGTCCTGGAACTCAACCTGTAGGCCAGGCTGGCCTCAAACTCAGAGAGATCCGCCTACCTCTGCCTTCCAAGTGCTGGGATGAAAGGCGTGCACCACCATGGCCCAGCAAGAATGTTTCTAACTAGTTCCTCTTACACAGTCAACTTACTGAATGAACAAAATGGAGAGAAACAATCTGGCTGAAAGTGGAGAGCAAGCTCCATGCACGAGTGGTGTGCGGTCGTCTTTCTGTAGTACTTCATTCCCCAAGGTACTAAAGTATTATGTTTGAACGCAATGCATTCTTTTAGATTTTATTTAGCCAAGCTAAGTCCAAAGACTGAATTATAATAAAACCATCAAATGCATTTGAAACCTGGATTCCTGGAGCCCTTGGGGGGTGGGGGTATGCTACCTGTATTCTCAATATTATAGAGAGCATCTTGAGTTTGAGGCCAGCCTGGACTATATATACAGCAAGACCCTGTGCCAACGATAAAATGACAAAACCCTAAAAAAATTACCATCACTACAACATCACCATAATAAAAAACATTTCTAGAAATAAAGCCTCATTTTCCCAGCTATTCTTAGGAACATGCATTAAACCCGACAACAGGATTTTTTTTTTCTTCTAAATCAACAGAAATAACTATGTTTGGAAATTCACACCAAACGTTTTGGAGACCAGGTATCCTAGGATGACTCTGAACTCAGTAATTGCAGCTGAGGATGACCTTGAACTTCCGATCTTCCTGCCTCTACCTCCAAGTGCTAGGATTATAGGCATGTGTCATCAGACCTTTTATGCGGTGCTGAGGCTCAAAGCCAGGACTCCATGCATAATAGCCAGGCTCTCTAACAACAGAGTCACATTCCCATACTTTAGTAGGAAACACTGAAGGTTTTCTGCCTCCTCACTAACCTAGATGGACAAAAACAGTATGTAAAAATATACACCATTCTGTCACAAAATTACTACTGTGAAACAATAGATGAGGCTGTAGAAAGTCCACTTGGTTTATGGTTTTTTCTTTCTGTACTTACTAACATGAAGAATGGAGTCTACTGTTAGTAGTGAAAATCAGCCCTAACAATACACCACACAGAGACTCATTTTAATCCTGCCTGCCAGCAAACATTCTGACACCTGACAAGTGAGAGAATCCTCTTCCAGTGCCCACTGCCTTTGCACGGCCGAGACCTGCCATACCCAAAAGCCAAGCAAAGGAAAAGGCACTGCATAAAAAACGGAGGTGCACAACCTCCACCAAATGAAGACTCCACACAAACTCACTCAAGATTGCCGCTGCAATCTGGGCGACTCCTAATAAACTCCAATCGCTTCTGAACTTCAGAACCTTCCCATGTGTTTACACCTTTCCTTAAAGATCCTTGATCCATGCTAACAAAACAGTAAGAGAGTAAACAAGCTAAGGATGCCGGACTCAAGACCTGGCACCACAGGCTGCTCTGACTACAGAGCTTTCCCAAGCAGCTGGAGCCATGAAATGTTAGCCCCCGACCCCCACAAACTGTAAGGCATGCCAAATCTGACCTGTACATATAAGACATGCAGGGCTCTGCAGAGTCTATGTTGTGAGGCCTGAGGCACAGAATGGCAGTTTAGCTACTTCCCTTATGAACCTTTGGAGATGGAGTTACCAGGTTTATCAGGAGCACAATTCTTCTAAGCCAGAGCCCAACATCTTTCCAGAATAAAAACAATTTTTTTATAAGGAGAGAGAGAGAGAGAGAGAGAGAGAGAGAGAGAGAGAGAGAGAGAGAGAGAGAGAGAGACCTCCTGGGTCATGACCCAGATGGGTTTAGTTTTAATTACTGAAATGCTTTTCTTTGTTTAAGACAGCTCAGCTCTACTGCTCTGCCACTGAGTTACTAATTAAAGATGTTGTCAAGACTGAGTTCAGCCTTCAAAACCCCAAACTGGAAGTGATTCCTTTCTAGTATGTGTGATACATCCCTGTGACTTCCAGCCCCTTCCCAGGCCCTTCCTCCATCCCCCTTTCCCCACACATCTGAAGTAGAAACACCACTATCTACAGTGCCCCAGAATGCCTTTCAATTGGCTGTTTTTGCGATGTCATGAACATCAGAATAGCTCTCAAGGTGAATTCTTGAGTGTGAGGGTCCAGCCCAGGTCTGTAGTTTGCAGAGACATAGAAAAAAGTAGACACTGTAATATTCAGAAAAGTTGAACATACAGGGTGTAACATACTGCTGGAAATTTCATTTCTCCAAAGAGCTGGCAGGCATGGACTACGTCCAAACTACAAATCAAACAAGTTTACAAAAATGATGTCAAGGAACAAACCGAGGTCTGTGTGCTATGAGGTTTCCAGTGTACCCTTAAGGCAGGCTCTTCATCTTTTCTGTGATGCTATTCATCTGATTGGCAGAGAACACACACGGACTGTGCTTTGCCTATGACGATTACCAATGAGTTTTGGATAAAGTTCAAGGGCATATATATCTAATCAAGT